AAAAAAAAAAAAAAAAAAAAAAAAAAAAAAAATCTGATGGTCCATTCCTATAATCCCAGCAGTTGGGAGGGAGGCTGAGCCAAGAAGGTTGTCAGGAGTTCAAGCCATCCTGGGCTACATAAGAGTTCAAGGTTAGCCTGAAGTACATATCATGGCCCTATCTAAAAAAAATTACTTAAAATATAAATGATTGGTTGGGAATGTAATTCAGTGATAATCTCTTGCCTAGCATGTATAAAGCCCTGGATTCAAGCCCCAGCACTGCAAATAAATAAACAATTACATAAATAAATATATGCAGTGGCATGTTGCCTGTACACCCATCTACAGGGGAGGCTAAGGCAGGAGGATTACTTGAGCCCAGGAGCTGGGCAAAGCAGCAGAATCTTGTGTTAAAGAAAGAAAGAAAAGAAAAGGAAGAGAGAAAAAGAAAGAAAGAGGAAATGGAGGAGGGAGGAAGGGAAGAAGGAAGGAAAGGAAGGGAAAATATATTAATTGGTCACCTTCTAGCTTTCAGGCTGTAGTACAGGTACTGAGGGTTGTACAAAAATAAAACATAAGGCCTCTCATGGAACTTCCATTCTACTGGAGGGAAATAGACAAGAAACAGGCAGTTGGGATGGGCACACACTAAGATGGCCCCCAATGTTTTATGCATCCTTGTATAATCCCTACTCCTGAGTGTAAACAAGGCCATGATATGACTTCCTTCAAACCAAAAAAATACGGCAAACGAAATGTAACGGCACTCCCAGCAGTGAAGCAAAAGTGATAAATGGCATTCCTATGATTACTTTATGATGTATGTAATCATAACATACGGGATTACCTACGCACTACTGCACTTAAGACTTTCCTCTTGGCCTTGAAAGAGAAGGCAAGAAGCGGAAGTAAGCTGCTATGATGTTACATGCTGAAGGAGAGGGCCATATCATAGGGAAGCATGAATGGCCCCAGTACTACAACAGTTCCATGAGATGAGGGCCTCAGTTCCACAACATCAAGGAGCTGAATTCTTTAGACAATCACATGACCTCAGGTGAAAATTTCAAGCCACTGATGAGACTACAACCTCAGCCAAGACTTTGACTGCACTCTAGGAGGCCCTGAGCAGAGGAACAGCTAGAATCCTGACTCACAGAAGATATAACAAATGCATATTGTTCCAAAGCCACTAACTTTTTGATACAGTGGACCCTAGAGTTATGACCAGCCTGACATAATGAACAACTTGGGTTATAACTGGAATTTTAGGTTGGTTTTTTTTCCTCAGAATTATAGTTTTAATGTATAACCAAAGTCTTGAGTTATGATCTGAAATGCCAGTCACTTGTGCTTCCAGATGGTCTCAGATACAGATTTAACCCTTAAAGAGTTCTGGAAGGAACATGGCAACATCCTTTCCTGTGTGGGGTTGAGAGATTCTGGGACAATGTCTCTAAGGACACTGAGATCTGCCTGTACACAGGAGTGTGGCTTTGAAAGCTGTCTAGAGGAGCCTGAGCCTTCAACTAACCAACATGAGTTACAACCAGCCCTCACAAACGTACTGAGTTTGTAAGTCAAGGGTCCACTGTAATTTGTTAAGTAGCAATAGGAAACTAACAGAAAAAGCTTGGCATGGTGGTACACACCTCTTATCCCAACACTTTGGGAGGCTGAGGCAAGAAGATTGCAAGTTCAGCCCAACCTGGTCAACTCAGAGATTTAGTGGGACTTTCTCTCAAAATAAAAATTAGGCTAGGGGCTGGGGATTTAGGTCAGTGGTTCTACAACCTGCCTCTGAAGCACAAGGACCCAAGTTTGATCCCCAGTACAAAAACAAACAAACAAACAAACAAACAAAAAAACATTAGGCCAGGTTTGGTGGAACATGCTTATAATCCCAGCACTCTGGGAGGCTGAAGCAGGAGGATCACTGTGAGTTCAAGGCTATAAAGCAAGACCCTGTCTCAATAAATAAACAAAGGATACATAAACAAAAAGGGCTAAGGACATAGCTCAATGTGAATACTCCCTACTGGAAAGAGAAAGGAGAGAAAAAAAAGAAAGAAAAGCAAGCAAGCTAACAGCAAATAAATATCATGTCAGATAGAGGTAAATACCACAGAGAAAAAGCAGAGTTAGAGGGATGGGAGTGTGTGTGTCTGTGTGTGTACATGCATGTTACGTGTAGTTTTTGCAAAAGTGGTCAGGACAGACCTTAGCAACTTATGTTTAAATGTGTCATTGGTTTTACTTCCACAGCCAGTTTGTGGGCTCTGTTGGGCAGAAATGGTCTTGTTCTCTGTGAATGCCCATGACCGATTCAGCAGAGTATTAAGTCCAAAAGTAAGCCTTGTTTTCTACGATCCTAAGATCCTTGAGTGCACAGAACCACCATTTTTGCTTCTCTGCCGGCCTCAAATAGCTACCCTATACAGTTAGCATTCAATAACCTTGGAACTCATTCTCAGTCTCCAACTTTATCCCTGGGATGACCCTTTTCCTAATCTGTTCCTGGCTCAACTCTCCACGTCAGGGTCACCTTTTCCAGACGAGTCTCCAATTCTGACACTTCAGCTTCCACCAACTCAATAGAGGCTCTGGGAAAGGAGGGAAAGGTCATGGGAAAAGAGCTTGGGTCCACCAAGCCTGCCCACCTCACTAGGGTCAGGGTTGAGGTTGTGGGCCAGTGGGTACAGAGAAAACTGCTGAGCTGAGATGGGCCATCCACCTGCTCACTCATCTGCACAGTCTAAACTACTTACTACAGCCCAGCCCAGAGCAGGAAGAGTAGGAGGAGGGTGGATGTGGTAATGGCAGGAAGTTGCTAACTGCCCCAGAGCAGGTGCTGGGGGAGGGGCAGGGGGCCCAGGGAGGGAGAAGGCGATGCCTGGTCTGAGGGGTGAGAGAAGTCAGAAGTTGGAGGGAGTACAGAGGATAGGAGGACCCCAGTGTGATAGCAGAGATACCATTTTGGCCCACCAGATCCATCTGGTCCCTTGAAGGCCTATTCCCTGGAGGGAGGCCTAGCCTGGGAAGAGCTGTGTCTGTTATATATTGAGAAATGTTGGACCTTCTCCTTCTTAGCCCGCTCCCTGCAGACTTGTGCACACTTACCGAAAACGGGGTGAGTCCTTGAGACACTCTTCAAAATCCAGCTTGACAGTCATTTCAGCTTGATTGCTGTGGGGCGGGTAGCCCGGGAGGCCAGGCAGGTGTTGGGGGTTGGTCAAGGCACTCCCAGCCCTAGGAGGGGCCGTGGGTGAGGAAGGAGAAAGTCTTCTGCTGGGGAGGACCTGAGGGGGTGCAATTCTTTCCCCAAGAAAAATGGGTGTCCTAGGAGGAGCTCTCACCCTACAGTTCCAGACGGTGCTGGGAGGGGTAGGGGTGGAGCCTGGGTGGCCGAGAGGGGTTTGAGATCAGAGAAGCCACAGCCCCGCCCCCAGAGACTATCTGCTGTCACCTTCCTCCTGGTCTTTTTCCGCTTTCTCCTTTTGTCACTGAGGTTTTGGGGCTTGATGATCTAGGTTCAAATGCTAGCTCTGTCACTTAGTAGTTCTGTGAACCTCAGCAAGTTCTCTGATTCCTCAGTTTCCTTGTCTGGAAGATACAGATGGAAAGCCCTCCTTCCAGAGTTGTTATAACAATTAAAGATGCTGGATATGGTGGCATTTGTCTGTAATCCCAGCACTGGGGTAGCAGAGGCAAGGGGATCATAGCAAGTTTAAGGCCAGTCTGGGCTACATAGTGCATTCAAGGCCAGCCGGAACATAGCAAGACACTGTCTCAAAAGAAAGAAAGAAAGAAAGAAAGAAAGAAAGAAAGAAAGAAAGAAAGAAAGAAAGAAAGAAAGAAAAAATGCTACTGGGTAAATTTATGATCAACTAAATTAATTGTATCACTCATTGTCATCCTGCTGCAGCTTGGATCTTCTCATTCCTAGATTCTTGTTGAAACTAGTTACTGAGCTGCTCTCAGCTTCCTTCTCTCTGGACTGCTTTTTGGGTTTCTTGTGTGTAAACATTCCTCCCACCACTCCTATCCCTGACCTAGCAGGACCAGCCTGGACAACCAATTCACAGTGACCAGATTCCTGCTGTTCTTATCTTTATTGTCCATTCCTAGGGTAGTAAGGGCAGGGGAAGGTTGCCTTTATCCCACCCCGAGCTGGCTATGTTTTCCGTTGTCTGATTTCCTCTTCCTGAGTCCGTCCATTGGAGCTTCAGGTCTCATCTAGAGAAGAGGATGGGTTAGGGGCTTTCTTGCATGTGACTTCAGCCCCTCTGCTCCCTGCAGGCACCCCTTACCTCTGCCCAGGCTCATATCTGCGCCTGTTCCAGTTTGGTGGGTTCTGGTTGCTCCCATGTTCCCTCTCTGAGTTCCCTGGGCTTTGGCAGCTCAGCCCCTTGGCCTCCAGCCATTGATACCAGCTGGATACCACTTGAGACCCACTGTCACTGGAGGACATGGTAGCTTCTGGGGTTGGGTAAGGTGGCAGAAAGGAGTAAAAAAGAAGGCATGGAGGTGTGGGTGATGCCAAACTAGAGGTTGTCCCATCCCTTCAGAGCCTCCCTGGTTGCTGTCCTAAAAAATAGGGGCCTTGAACTCTCTTACTACCTGTTACTGCTGTACTGACCTAACAGAATTGGGAGGCTGAGAGATGGGAGATGGCAACTTGTCAAAAGCCAGGCCTAGGGAGATGGTGGCCTGATGCTTTGACTGGGTCGTAACAGTGTCACAGGCATGGTCAGGGAAGCCTCAGGGGTCTTGTGATCCATATAGGGGCTTCCCATGTGGTCCAATAGATGAACCTCAGTGGTTATGGGATTCTCAATGACCTAGATCAAGCCTATGGAGCCTGGAAGTATAATGGGATGAAGGTTTTGGCACCCAACCGATGTTGATTCTCAGCCCTCCCACCCCTCCAGACCATCCGCCCTGGCTCTCACCGTTCTGCTGTTCGTCTTCTGTGTCCTCTTCAAGTTCTGGGTGGGAGCAGGATCTCAGGTATATTCCTTTGTTGTAATATTCCTTGCGTTGCTCATCAATCTCTTCCAATATGATGGAGGCCGATGCTGGGAGGAACTGATTTCTGCAGGTAGAGGAATCTGAGGAATCATCCAAAGCAATCTGTCTGTGGCCACCTGGTGTGTCCAGGCCTTCAGGTGTGTATGGTGGGCTTGTCTTGAGTTTTCATCTCATTCTCCTATTCATCTCCCCCTTGTTTTCTTGAGACAGGCTGGACTTATACTCACTATATAGCCCAGGCTGGCATCAAACTCATAGGGATCCTTCTGCTTTAGCCTCCCAAGTACTAGTATCATAGACATGTGCCACCACACACAGCCTCATTTATTTATTTTAACCATCCCTGCCCCATTTTAGAAAAATTTCAATAACCTCTCTATTCCTCTTAAACTTTCTCCTTTTTTTTTTGGTAGGGGGGATTAAACTTGGGACCTTGCACTTGCAAGGCAGGTGGTGGTGGAACCACTGAGCTAAATCCTCAGCCCCCTCTTAAACTTTCTATTCTTCATGAGCCAGTCCTCTCTGGGAATTCCACTCCAGCAGCCTCCTTTATCCCTGGAGTCACCTCCCAGCACTGCCTCCATGTCAGGCAGCAGGGCTGTAAGCTGACACCCACTGAAGAAGACTATGGTGGAGATGTGAGGAACAGAAAGTCCAAGAAGACTAAGGGCTCTGGAATAGGCTCAGGATTACAACTCCCTTGAATTCTGGGAGGGCCCCCCTCCCCATTGTTACTAACCTTTGGCTTCTAGGACGTCACTCACAGTCACCCGAGCAGTCTCATCTTTGACTGCTCCAGCCATTGCTCCTGGCCAGCCTCTCTCCACAGGCCTGGACTTTGGGTCCATCATCACACCTTGACCACCACTGCTGACGCTGGCGCTGCCCCAGTTGCTGTCCTTGTCATCATACAAGGGCATGTTTTTCTGAGCCCTGAGGAATTTTCCTTCATTGTAGTGTCTCTTGCGGTGCTTGTAAAAATCACTGGAGTCTGTAGGCCAGTACAAGAGCTTGGTTTTCCCACTGGAAACTTGACAAAGGTTCATTCTGCCTCCCCTTTCCATTCATGCCCACCCTGCATCTCACATGTCTTGGAAAAGTTGTCTGTAGCTATTGAGCATCTGTTATTACCATTCTGGAGGACCTTGGGGAGGAAACTGTCCATTGTTGCAAACCTGAAGAGGAGGGAGACTAGTTGGGGGCATCAAAAGGAGAAAACAACAACGGGGGCAAATGGTAGATGGGACCAACCTGGTTGACCCCACCAGACTGGTCTTGGTCAGGCCTGATAGGAATTGTAGTACCTCCTATTTGGGGCCAAAAAGTAAAGCTGCCTCAGACTAAAGTTCACAGATGAGTAGTAGTAAAGATCCAAAACTCCAACGGACTCTTACCTCTCTGCCAGCACTTCAGGGGTCACATTGAGGGAGGACCCTGCAGACAGGTCCTCATCACTGTCCTGCAGTCTGCAGAGGAGGAAACAGTGCTAGGAGGTGAGCAGAGGCTTCACTGCCTCCTCCCCTGGTCCCTTGTTAGAACGGAGTCTAGGTTGAAAAGCTTGGTACCTGTGATAGGGGGTGCTGGGCTCATCCACTTTCATAAAACCATAGTCTTTATCAGCTGGATGGTGAGTGGCCAGGATATTCATCTCATCCCAATGCTGAGACTTTTTCCTGGGGTGGGAAGAGACACAGAAAAGGTGGGAAATGCCTAGTGATTCTCCTCCTCACAGGTTTTCCTTATCCTTTCAGTCATTTAAGAAACTCTTATCTGGTAGAGGCTAGGGATGAGGTCTGACCCAGTGATAACCATGGTACTGTGTGAGCACCTGCTGTTCTATGGAAGGCCTGGAACCTAATATTGAACATAATATTTTCTACTCAACTACCCTCACTCTCATACCTAGTTCTCGGATTCTGCCCTTCCCTATGGCTTGGCTCTTATTTGCCTAACTCCTCCCTCCAATCTGCAAGCAAAGCTGGACCCCTTACATCGCCGCACTGGGTGATTTCTGTTGCAAGATATTGCAGTTGTGTTTCAAGATGCTCCGGGGATGGTCCTCACAGGAGTTGTAGGGATGCAAGGAAGTTGACTCGGAGCCCGGACTGCGCCCCAAACTGTATACCCTAGGCTCCCCAGGCCCAGAGCTGGACGCTGCGGTTAGACTGGTTCCAGGGTAAGGGATGTTGAATCCACCAGAGGATGTGCTGGATCCACGGCTGTAGCCTGCAAACTCCCCAGGGTGCTGACTGGGCTCAGAACCAAGTGTCACTGCCCCCTGGGAAGGCCGGCTTGAACCAGGATTGTGAATTGAGGTGCCCCTGGAGTGCAAGGGGGGTCCCGAACCGTGAAACAAGACTACTCCGGAGGGTAGCGTTGTGTCTGTTACTGTTCCTCTGATCCCTCCAGGTACTCCCTTGGTTGCCCCTCCAGGGGATTCCCTACGAGGGCCGCTAGCATCTCCCGGCCTTTCCTGCTTCTCCATGGCCCCAGCCAGGGGCCACTCGGCTACCTCGCCCCCGCCTCCCTGCTCTTCCTAACCCCGCCCCTGGCCCCCGCCCTCTCTGGAGAGGGCTGGGGACACTCTGGATCCGGCGGGTCCCCAGCCCTCCAGCTCCCGGGAGCTGTGGTGGGCGTAATCAAAACTACACAGGGATCTTAGCCTGGGAGCCCCTGCAGCTCTCCCTTCCTTTTGAATCCCACTCAAAGACTGTCTTTCTTTGTCATGGCGATTTGTTCCCGCCCTTCTCCAGTACCCATAGTACAAATCAGCCAATCATAGCCAGAGGGCCTGGCCCGGGGCGGGGGTGGGGGTGCGGAAAGCCTTGATTGTGACGTCACATCTCTCCGATTTTGGAGCCAGCTCTGAAAAGCTGTAATTGGGACGTTAGCTCTGCAGATCTCTTCTTTACAGCGTTCCTTGAAACTTCCTTTGCATTTCTGGACTTCATTTGTGACTTCTTTTTGGAGACAAGGTCTCGCTATGTAATTCAAGCTGGCCTAGAACTCATTTTGTAGTCGAGGCTGGCTTCGAACTCGGGCGATCTCGCTGCCTCATCTCCCCAAATTTATTACAGGCGTGTGCCACCACGCCTCGCTCTTATTTATGGCTTTAAAGTCCAAGAGTTTGGTTGAATTGTCGTATAAAATGGGCTTGATTTGAATTACTCTCAAGCTTTCTTCCTCTCTCGAAAATTGGCTCTCTACCTCTTGGGAGAGGTGTGACTTAAAGTGGGGGTATTGCAACATTTCCGACCTCAGTGGTGTAGAGGATAGAGACTCGTTCACAAGGCTCTCCGAGGCTTCTTCTAAACCCCACTTAACATCTTCCTAAAGCGTGTAGCGCGAAGAAAAGACGCCTGCTTTTGCCATAAAGTGAATACTTCAATTGTCGCTTACCCCAGTGGGGGCGGGATCGCTGGTGTCTCTGTCGCAAAGCGTGCTTGGGCGCTGGCATCCGTCTTAAAGATGCCTGAGGCAGACGTTCCTTCCTCTGTCGCAAAAGCCCCCTTGCCCAAGTCTTCCTTCGGAGCCACTCCTTCTTCAAGCCGTGCCGTAAAGCAAGCCTGCCCGACCCGGTCTTCCTTCTGTTCCCTTCGTGGTAGTCATTAGTTCCCTAGCCCGGGATGCTTCATTGCCCGGCACTGCCGTAAAGCATATCTGGCCCCAGCTCCCCTCCCTTCCCGGTCGTATTCCCTCGGGGTATCTGCCCTCCGCGGTTGCCACGGTG